GGTTTGAAAGGTAGTAGCATAAGTAGAGGCTGAAGCGAGAGAAAAAAAAACCTCCTCTCGCTCCGACATTAATATTCGGGTTTGCTACATAACTTTAGAACCAACAAAGTGCTTTCTTTCTGCCTTTGAGAAAGCCAACCTGGCCCGAAGTGTGCGCCACCCTCGTGCTCACAACCCTCGTATCAGTCCTCAGCGGTCTCCTCCTCTTCAGTGGCGCCTTCCACGACTTCTCCCTCCCCGTCTTCTGCTGCGTAATAGCCGGCTGTCACTATTCACTCATCAAATCTGTACAACCAGACCCCGCCTCGCCTCGCCACGGTTTCAACCGCCTTATTGTCTACTCCCGCTCCCTCGTCTTTTGCCTTCTCACCGGCCTTTTCGCTCTCTCCCTCCTTTTCATTCCCTCTGCGGATCGCATCAACGACAGTAGGCACACTATTGCGGACATCTGTCCTGCCAACTTCCACTTTGTTCGACGTAGGGCCTCCACGTGGCTCAGCGATGGTATCATGACTGGCCATCTATCTTCCTCACCACCACTCGTGCTTTACAGGTGGAGGTTGGAGGCATTGTGGGTGGTGTGTTTGCTGAAGGATGTCTGTGGCTACCTCCTGTTGGCCTTTCCCCTCATCCTTCTCTTCGGTCTAGTGCCACAGGCCAACACACTTGTGTCGAATGTGCTGGAGCAAGTGGATATGCATGTCTTTGGTGCCAGTGGGTCGGTCAATCTGTCTTCAGTGGTGGTGTCAGTTGGGAGGAGTTGTGCGGTGATCGGCCTAGGATTCGGATTTTGCTATGCTGCCGTAGTAGTAAGCGTAAATTTTTTCTCCCACCTCAATGCTTCTTGAAGCACCACATCTAGTTTACAGCGGTAACTAGGTAGAATAGAATTTAAAAGTTACCGATTTCTCCTTGGTGTTTTCTCTTTAAACTCATGTAAGAATAACTTATCTAACTGTCCGTCTCTATCCAGCCTTGTCTAGTTATTTCAAGTGGTTTGTTGTGCTGGCATCCTAACGGTAACAAACCTTTCTGTTAATTCCCACTTATCATGCGGTTGGATGTATCTGCTGCGTGCACTGATGTTCCCGAATCACAGTTACAAAGTGACCGAATCAGTTTGTGTGGTTCTTAAAATGCGAAACATAGCTGTATAGATCTTATCACCACACTTTGTGGAAATAATGGCGACTACAATCTCAGCCTCCTATGGCTAGGTGAGTTAGTAGTGAAGTTCACTTTTTTACAAAGGCATTATCCTAGAGGTTTGCGTGCAAGTGGAACTACTCCTTTTCGCTTCCGTTTTTATTCCACTGCTATCATGGATTCCCCCAGTCTTATCTCAGGAATTGGTGACAATCATGACCCCGAGAAATGTCATCAGGGGGATGTGAAGGGTTAGGACGGGGAATAAAGATGAGACACTTGCTCTCATTTCTTTCTTTCGCCTTCCCATCCTAAATTGAATAAGTCGTGTAGTATGTAACATGAGATTCAGCGTTGTCCTGTGAGGTTAAGGGTAAGATTTTTTGTTGCTAGATTCAGTAGTCCTGGTTACCCTCAAGGAAACGATTTTTGTACACCTACAAGTGTTTTTCAGGTTGTGTTAAACATGTAATTCTCAGCTGCAAATGTTGTCTGGCCTCCAGTAAGAAATTTATTCATAATGATCAATTGCGTCTGCTGTTCACCACACACAAAAGCAAGTTATCCTTACACTGTGGGGATGAAATTGTAGGTGGCTTAGAGTAGAGTCATTTAGGAATGTCCAACATTAAGTTCATTTGCCAGACGGACGTTACTAAACAAATACACCTCTCATTACAAATCTTTTCAGTTGGTTATTCAGCAAAAAGTCCAATGTACGGCGTGTTCCTACGACGTATGCAAAGGAAGTGAAGGGCAACTAATTGATAGCCCTACAGGCTCGTTGTTTGTAACCTTTTAGTGCCTGGCATCTGGTTGGTTGTTTTTTTTTCAAGTTGGTGTAACTGCAAACGAGTTGACTTACATGAGTGGAAGATAAAAGTGTGATTCGTAAACATGGCTGGAAGG